GTACTATTTTTGGTACCCTTGGGTAATCTTCCCTTTGGTAAGGGAATAAATTGTACGATATTCACTCAGGTCGCCACTCCTTTAATAAGGGAATTAAATTTTACGAGTTTTATTCAGCTCGTCCCTTTAGTAAGGGATTTTTATTTACTACCCCTTATAGTAAAGGATTTTTATTTTCGATAATGATTATGGAGATCATTCAGCCCGAGTCTTTATAATACAGGACCCTTATAGTACGGGGATATTGATTACGGAGTCACTCAGCCTGGATCCTTATAATACAAGACACTCATTTACTATCCCTTATAGTACGGGGATATGGATTACGGGATTCATTTAGCCCGAGTCCTTGTAACATAGGACACTCATTTACTATCTTTTATAGTACGAGAATATTGATTACGGGATTCATTTAGCCCGAATCCTTTTAATACAGGACCTTCATTATCATCCCTTATAATACGGGAGGTAGTCGTCTCGTCTCTCTAGTAAATGAAGGAAGTTTTAATTATCTCACCCTTCTATGTAGAAGAAGTAGTCGGCTTCTTGTCCCTTTAATAAGGGAAGAATGTATTGTTGGCCCTTGGTCCCTTTAAGGAAATAAATAAATTATTTTGAGCTTGATATTACCACATAGGTAGGTAAATGAAAACATAATATTTTATTGTGTAGAAATTGAGAGTCGTCTATCTCACTGGTGATGGTGACTTTATTAGAAAATGAAACAACATGTGAAATGATGAACTGAGATGCCCCCAGTCTTTATTTTGAATGACTTGATAAGGTTAATTCCAACTGTAAGACAACTGTTAGTCGGTATACTTATCTGAGTCCTCCTCACTATATGTCCTATCGTTTTGGCGGAAGAATGATCTCTTATAACTGGTATCATTTTCATCCTTGGTGAGAGGGGCTGACCTCTTTTTGTCATCTCCTTCCTTTCCCTTCCGTGCATTCATGGCGTCTTCAGTGTTCATGTGTTTTTGCGCTCTGATCAACAACTTTGCCATGCTGGTGGGAGGTTCTTTGGATAAGGCGAATAAGAATCTGGAGGTTTGGAGTCCTCCTATGAAAGCGGTCAGAGCCACCTTATCACCCACATCTTCTGCCTACAATATCTCTATGTTGAATCGGGTGATATATTCCCGGATCGACTCACCCTTCTGTTGCTTCACGGTAAGCAAGTAGGTGGCCGGCCTCCTATGCCTCTGACCTGCAATGAAGTGGCTCACAAATTGCTTGCTCAGTTTTTTGAAGGTGTTAATGGTTCCTAGCTTTAGCTTGTTGAACCAAACTATTGCCGATCCCTTAAATGTAGTGGGAAAAGCTCGGCACATGATTGCATCTGGCATGACGTGTAAATGCATAAGAGCTTGAAAGGTTTCCAGGTGATCGAGGGGATCTTTGGTCCTATTGAAGCTTTCGAACGAGGGCATCCTGAACTTGCTAGGCAATGGACATTTCATAACGGCGAGGCTGAATGGCAAGTTGGTCCTTTGTACCAGGTCATCTATGGTGGCAGGACCTTTCCCTTTCATAGCCTGCATTACATCTTCCCCTTGAGATCCTCGATCTGCAGGTCAAAATAGGTAACTTTCTTTGTCTTTTCCTTAAGACAGAAAGCTATGCCTTCATGAGGTTGGAAACTCCATGGGAGAGATGGGTGAACGACCTCTTTATGTCGGTTTCCCACCTTGGTTTGTTCCACTTCGGTCTCATTTTGGGGAGGATGATTATCAAGCTCTTTAAGATTCCCATTACCTCCGTTTGGATTTGAGAGATTTTGTCGTGGCAAGTTTTATTGAACCGGTAGAACAAGATATTGCAAGAGCGTTGCATTTTACTGGATCGACTGGTCCATACCCTAACTTAGAGTTTAGACCTGCAGTTCCAACGCTGCAAGCCGTGTCTGGTCGTTTGGGACGTCTAGGTTTTCACCCGACTCTACCCTTTGACCAGATCCCTACGACAGTATTCCTTCGGTAACCATACCGGACCGCAAACGTATATACCCAACTGAGTAATTAACTGATTCAAGGGAATCGTTGTTCCCACAGACGGTACCAACTGTTGAGGGTGAAATTCACGCGATCCGATACGACGCCGTTTTTTTGCAAGGAAGAGAAAAGAAGATCGATGAACCTTGACAGCACCGGTGTGGTGCCCGCCAAGAGCTCTCTGACGATCAAATTAGTCACCGGAAGTCTAAAAAAAAGGCAGAGATTTAATAATAATTTTTTCGTCGTACCTTATTCCCGAGTCGTCTTCCTATTTATCGTTACTTCCCTTATTCTTGATAAGGGAATATCATAATCCTTATCCCATGGAAATCTTATCATTGATAAGATTTGTCATTATCCCATGGAATTTATCCAATGGAAATCGTTATCCTTGATAACGAAATATTATCTTTCGAAAGTAGAAGAGATTTGGCATCTGGTCAACACTTAGTTGCCTCCATCGTTAGGTCAAAATAGTTTAGGTTTATTTTTCCCTATCATCATATATTACTGTTGTGAATGGTTCACATTGTATAGAGAAATTTAGAAAGCTCACGTTGTGTAAAGAAGTTTAAATTTTTTACATGCAGATTGCCATGTCATATTTACCATACGTCTCCATAGATTAAACTTCTAGGTAAAAGTTGTTTATAAGAGATAGATGCCACTAGAGTATTCACACTTGCCGGGAAGTAATTTGTCATAAAATTAAATTATATCCTCAATTTAAAAATTCTTTTCTATTCATTGTTTATTTTATAATTCTAATTTTCCATGTTGGTATATTTTTTATCTGGTCATAAATAATTATACATAATCATTTTATTTACTCACAAAAACAAATTAAGGAAATGGGCAAATTTTTTTTTTTCTTTCTTAGTTTCTATTTGGCATGTCTAACTTTTCCTCATGTGAACGTCCCATGCATTTGTTAATTGCTAGACACTTGTCCACACATTTAGCAAAAAAATTAAAATTGTTTATTTTACTCTTTTTTTATTTTCAAATGGCTAAGGTGGTCCCTAGGCATAGTTTCAGACAAGGACCCCACTAATAGAGTAACGTATAAGAATTCTTTCAGCTCTAATCACAGTTATATTGCATTTAACAACAAAAGTTTTATCGAATATATACCCTATTTTATCTCACTGCCATTCGTTATCACGTGAATCGGAAGAAATCCCATCATCAGATCTACAACAAATTTCAGACAAATCATCTCTATTATTTTAACAAAGATAAGAATAATTAATTATGTTGAAAAAACAAAGCCTGCTTCGTTCTGTTTTGCAATAACAATTTTTTATAAATTAAATTACTAAATATAAACTTATTTGATTATAAATTATAAAAAAATTATATTTGAAAACTTAAATGGAAAGGTATTGATTTTTACATAATTATTTTTTATAAGATAAATGTTAAGTACAGTGACTATAGTGACTGCCCATTCAAAACCACTACTCTAATTGGTTGTAAAATCAACCATAAAAACTCATTAATTGTATCTTTCCTTGGTAAAAAAATTATATTATTGACGACTTTAATACTCGATTTAATTTTCACAATAATTTTCATGGTACTCAAATATAATAATTTGATTTGTACAAAATCTAGAACAAAAAGTGTAATGTTTTATAATTTTTCAATGCTTTGTAATTTTATTTAAATTCCTCTCTTTATTTTTGTTTCTGCGCATAAATCATTATAATAATGAACAAATAAATACCTATCAAAGTAATAAATGAATATTCATGATCAAATACACATTTTTTTATTTATTTATTACATATAACGATACACAATCTAATTATACATAAGATATGCAATCTTAACTATATATATATATATATATATATATATAGTAACATATATACAATTTGATATATATATATATAACATATGTATAATTTAATATACAGGTTGATTGAAACTTTAATCTTAACAAAGATATTATATTCAGATAACTCTAAAAAAGAGATTGTAACTTTTTAAATGATTAATTACCTTATATTTTAAAATTAATCCACTATATTTTTAGTCACAGACCCTATAAAATAGTAGGTTAAATAGCATGACTCATTTATTTGGACATTAAATATGATAATTTTTTAAAGACAAAATTACCCTTTCAATATTTAAATCTTTCATGGCCTTTTCTTCGTCAGTTTTACTTGCAGTAAAATTGTACTGACTCATAGTTATTTTGTGAGAGGGAGATGGTGATAGCTTTGTAAAAAAAAAAAAAAAAAAAAGGGAGAGGTATGTTGGTGATGTGATCGTACTACAGAATACATAAAGCAGGTGATATACACACACACACGTATATAGATAAACGATCATTAAAAACGATTAAAAAAATAAAAAGGAAAGAATCCACTGGGAAGAAAAAAAAAAGAAAAAGAAAAGGAAAGTATTTACGGCTGAAATTTATATTTATATATCTATATACACGTCTGGTAATTTATCGCAAAAGTTAAATATACATACATATGGAAGAATGACCAAATTTGAAAGGGCAAATTTGTACTTAAAAAGTTACTATTTTTAATTTTTAAATAAATAGAAAAGATTCAATTAATGAGTTGTATAGCACTATAACCAAGCAATCGTCTAATATTTCAAATTTTAAACTCAGATTAGAGAATTATGTAATATTAATTAAAAATAATTTAAATTGAATTATTTATGATAACATTTGCAGCATACTTTTCATCCACCTACAATACAACTGTTTTTCATCAAAATAAAAATATTTTCACTTCACATTATTTTTTAAAACTGTGTTCACACACTCCACAAATATTTTTCTTAAAAATTATTTATATAATCCACCTTTTAGAAGGCAATGTTATTATTTCACTTATTAAATGATTCAAATGACATGAAAATAAAGTATAATACAAGTATGAATATCATTTTTAGAAAATGAATAATATAAAACAGTAGTAGTATTATTTTTAGGTTTCATAATTAAAGTAAACTTTTTCTTAAAATATGATTTGCAGAGTTTCTCTTTCAACTAGCATTCCTCGGATAACTCCGCCTTTAACGTTTCCTTTTTCTTCAATCTGCCGACAAACTTCTATGTTCCGCCATCACCGCTCTCTCACAGCTCCACGTGTTCTTCTCTCACAAGCTCTCTCTCTCTACATTTTCTCTCTCTAAATCGATGCTCCCCAACCTACTCACGTAACTCACCTTTACTAATTGGGTTCGAGGTTGGTCTATTGTCTCTCTCTCTCTCTCTCTTCAGTCCGATTTGTGCAGAACTCGACTCGCGTAGGTGTAGCCATTGCTATAATTTTTTCTCTAGGGTTTTGGAGTGAAAGGGGAATGCTGTGAGGAGTAAAATGTTCAATTTCTTGACCAGAAAAGACGTCAGGAAAATTCTCAAGCGCAAGGACAGTGATGCTGGTGAAAGAGGTATTTTCAATACTCACATGTTCTCTACTTTTTTTCCAATTTTTTTTTAACTCCATATTTTCTCTCACTTTCTGGGGTTAGGATTTGTGGGTTTTCCCACATTAGTCTCGTTTTTACAATGCAGTTGTGTGGAAAGTTGCAAAAGTTGTCTTCCTTTTGTTGGTGGATTTATTTGTCTGCTTGTTTCTTGCACTTCGTATATTGGGGTAGTCAAGGGTTTGTTAGATTTGAATGATCTGATTGAGCAATGGAAAGTGAATTATGAAGAAGACTTTAATGTTCTCTGGTTGTTGGTCTGATTTTGGATTTCAATTTCTTATTTTTACCTTTTATTTGAAATTATGTGAAGTGTTTTTGGCTAGTTATAGATGTGTTGTGGTAGCCCATTATTTACTTTGGGAAGACAAAAAATTAGATGAAGAAATGATAGTAACAAACATGATTTATCAATTAATGTTGTATTTCTATTATAGTAGAATGTAGAAAAAAACTGCATTTTCTGAAGTGATTAGCCACTGTGCTTGAAGGCTTTGGTCCGTTTAAGAAATTGGCCTGCTAGTTTTCTATTTTTTGAGAACTGAAAATCAAAAAACTGTTTGGTTGTCAGGATTCAAAAACTGTTTTTTGAAAAAATTCCGTTGAAAAACAGTTGTTTTCAGACAACCGTCTTCTATAGTTCTCTTAAAATAATTTTAAGCTTTCTGAGTTCTTGAGAATCGTGTTTTAAAAAGCAACCAAGCATGGTCTTCCCGGATAATTCTGGTTACCTTCAGGGGCGGAGGGAGCCCAAATTTTTTCCCTATGTTAATAATACATAATTTAGGTTATTAATTGTGATTATAGTAGGAAAATTAAAGCTGCCCCCCCCTAATTTTTTTTGAAATCTGTATTAATTGTATATATTTATGGTATTAATTGTGATTATAGTAGGAAAATTAAAGAAATAATTGTAATTCTTTCCATTTCTTCTTCTCGGATTATACATAATTTAAAAGTATACATTAAAAATAGGTTGAATTTTTTTTTTTTTGGGCTCCCCAATTAAACATTCCTGGCTCCCTGGTTACCTTTTTCATTTGAATGAGTATGAACTTTGTATTTTAGTTTAGTTGCTGAAATACAGGTTTTAAAAACTTAGGGTATGTTTGGCTAATGCTTTTGCTTTTGCTAGTGTACGGTAGCGAAGCAAAAGCACAAAGCATGTTTGGTATTGTTTGCTGTCATTTGAATAGTACTGAAGCGCTTCCAAAATTGAGGCCAAAATCGAAAGCATCAAAATGATGCTTTTGTTTGCTCCTGCACTACTGTTCAAAAAAAAAAAAAAAAAAAAAAAAGAGAAAATCGAAAAAACGTTTTAACTAGCCATTCAAAATTTCAAACTTAGCGACACTTTTTACCAAACACGCTTTCATATTTTTGTTTCTAAAAATCTTAGTAAAAAATTTACGTTACCAAATAAGCTTCGAAATAGTGTTGAACACACTCTAAAGCAGAAACATTGCTTCTGTTTCTTGTCAATGCAAAAACACAAAGCGACTGTGGTTGCCAAACGGGCCCTTAGTTATCTTCATGAGTACTAAGTAGGGTGTTTGAACACATTTCTTTTGTTTGTGGTATATGTCTTGAATGCACTGAATTCTCCGAGTCTCTTTAATATTTTTTAGGTCTTTCTAGATTTTTTGTGCAGTTGATAGTATATGCTTAATCATAATTTTATTTCATGACACACCACAGGCTTGACGCTTTCGGGAGTAGAGTTATATATCATACTCTTTAACCCGATTTGCTTCTCAAATTCAATACATTCGTATCAATTTTACTTGCGAAAAGAAAAATGGAAATCATAGCAAATTCAGTATACCGATTTTCTTCTGGGATATGTCCAGCCGAGTCTTGATTGATGTAAGGCTATTTTAGTTAGTTTATAATTGGCTGGAATGAACTTTTCAGCTATCGTGTTTTTATTAAGATGATCTTCACATTGGTTTGCCTTTATCTATGAATTGAGGTTATGTCTCATCTGTCAATTTAGGAAAAGCACTGGAGGAACTGCGGGCATCTTTGTTCAGCGAATTCCGGTTCTTTGGAAGTGCAAAGCGTCAACAGAAACTCTTATGGGGGCCTACTGCTGCTCTTACATTCAATTTTTTGGTCGCTGTTAGTATTATCTTGATGAACAAATTGGTTAGTAAAATTAAATATCCTCCCATTTCATCCATCATATTTAACAGCTTTCTAGACATTATCTTTTCTTTTAATTTTTTATTTTTTCAATTCAGGTGCTTGGCAAAGTTGGATTCAATTACCCAATTTGCCTCACTTTTATTCATTATCTATGTAGCTGGTTGTTAATGGGGCTTCTAAAAGCTCTTTATATCCTTCCTGCATCTCCTCCATCAAAGGCAACCAAATATTCTTCGTTATTGGCTCTTGGTATAGTTATGTCTCTCTCAACCGGCCTTGCTAATGTTAGCTTGAAGTATAATAGGTGAGACATGACAATCCCCAATTACTATGCTTAAATATCCTCATTTTGACTTGTTTGATGTCTTAATTGAACTCTATATTTTCAGTGTTGGATTTTATCAGATGGCTAAGATTGCTGTGACCCCGACAATTGTTTTAGCTGAATTTATTCTCTTTCGGAAAAAAGTTTCTTTCCAGAAGGTAACTTCTCTTTAGATAACATATTTAAATCAAGCATGAAAACTAGTGCGGGGTTGTCCCACATGAATTCTTCTTTAATGTTTATTTATTGGGCAACAGTACTAGATTTATAAATATCCATTCATAAATCTTCCTTGCTACTATTCATTCAAAGCTGAAACTCAGCATATTGACTACTTAATCCATCCATAGTATACATCCGAAATATGTATCTTATATGCAACATACATGGAGTAGACTTGAATGAGTTACACTTAACAGACTTTGTAGCCAAAGTTCTTTATGAGGATTGTCTCTGTTTTCTAAGCTATCCGATTTCTCGATACCCTCATATTCTGAACATTTCCACATTTGACTTGTTACATCTTCAAAGCAGTAGTATATTACCAAGGGGCATAAATGTTGATTTCTCGATACCCTCATAAATGTTGCACTCTATGCAGCATGGACTTAGGGTCAGACACAACACCACATCATGGATATTTTGATAAGCACAATAGATAAATATAATTTTCATTATAGTAACTACAGTTTTGGTTAACTTATTACTATTATTACTTTTTATATGTAAAAGTATTTTATAAAAAAATCCATTGTCAGTCCTAGTAAAGATGAAGTAGCATGGAGTATAATCTATATATTCAATTTCTGGTTTTGGTTAATTTATGGATGCTTCTGTTTTACCATTTGCATAATAAGTAATATTTTTGAATCATAAGGAAAATGAAATTTAACTGATCTGTATATATATAATTTCTTCAGAACTATATGGGTTTCATGTATAAAAAATAGTTGTCACATGCACGATACTATTCTCCTGTATATATGTAATTTCTTCAGAACTATATGATTTTCATGTATAAAAAATCTGCTAAGTACTTGATCAGTGACGGCCATGTTTGCAATGTCAAAGTTTATTATAAAATTCTGAAAGTTGGGGCGCGTCAAGTTTTCAACACATTTCCGGGCATGTTGAGGGATTGTTGCATTTGGCATGGAGTCCGTCATGGAACAGCTCCTTTTAAGGGGTGTGCTTGATAAATAGATTGCACTTTACTACTTGCTACATGGATTAATCTTCAGACTGATGATCTCATTACAATGGAGGAAGGAATCTATGTTGATTCTACTTTCTGGATATCTCTGTTCATATGAGGTTAGCATATAAGTGGTACTTAAAATACTAACATGGGCGGCTTCCCTACCATTTTCAACATTTCTGAATACAACGATTTATTCTTTAGCTTATGAAATGAGTATTCTAGTTTAAATTTTAAAAATCATGAGCATCTGATGTGCGTGATATGACATCTGGCCTATATGGGCAATAAAACATGGATATGGATGATTGCATGTTGCCACGTGGTCATGAGCCTAAGAACTGAAGCATGGGCACGTAAGCAATTAAGCATCACTATTGGACTCATAGAAAATGTACCTGTGTTGTATATAGGAGAATTTGGGAATTGTTTTTTTTTTTTTTTTTACCTTTCAGAAAATGCCATTTCATTGTAATTTTTCTCTTTCCAGTGGTTCTTATAATACATAATTTTCCATATTTTTTTTTATATGGAGGATTGCATGTTGCCACATGGTAATATGAGCCTAAGAATTGAAGCATGAGGCCGTGGGCATATAGGCATCACTACTGGACACGTAGATAATGTACCTGTTGTAGATTGGAGGTCTTTTAGTTCTAATTTTGTCTCTTTTCATTGGTTCTTATTTTGCATCATTTTACTTACTTTTAGCATAGATGGGTCCTACTTGGAGGTCTTTCCCAACAACCATAAGTTTTTAACCTCCAAGAACGATAAGTTGGAAACTAACAATTTGAAATCATATCCCTTGTTTTTGAAGCATGGAGACAAATACTGAACAGGGATACTATGAAGCACTTATGTAATAATTTTTCTTTTCTTTTTCTTTTTTTTTTTTAAATTCATGGCACTGATATGGGGACACAACAGTACATACTCATAAATATGCTTGTATGTATTCATAAAAAATTCAATATAATTGTTTGTCTTACATAAGAATTTGTATATGTGAAAAAAAAAAATAAAAAAATAAAAAAAATAATTGTCGTGGTATTTGAAATTATATAATTTTCATGAATCTATTAAATCTTCCATGTTCATGTGAAAAACAAAAAAAACAATTTTATTGTCATGTATAGGAACACATAAAATTTTCATGAATCTATTATTTCTTCTATGTTACGAACTTGCAAACATTGAAAATTGTATTAGAAGAGTGAGGGTTCTGTTACATGGACGTGGACTTTGGAGCTTGGGGCCAAATTTGATAGGAATTACCTTACTATATCTTCTTCCTCTCTCAGATACATTTTAATTATTTGAAAATTTTGTTATGCTTTTATGTTTTGTTTTCCTTAAAGAATTCCAAATTTTTTTTCCTAATTACTACAATATGATAGTACGACTACACCAGTTCAGTGTAGCTTATGTCATGAAGTCCTTAAAAAGGCCATTATCTAGTAACAGTCTGACCTATGCAAGTACTGGAATAGATTGAAGATATACCTTTTTGTTGCCCTTCCAATTATGTATATTTAAGCATTATCAAATATAACTCTCTGAGTATTTGATTGCTACATGATACATCCAATTCATATACAATATGGGTATGGCTCCCGCATAAATATATTTTTGCTGTGTAGTTCTGGCACCTTTCATGAAAATCTTCCTCTGATTAGGAAACCATATAATCATTATAATATTTTATCATGTTTATTTGTTCAATGCAACTGATCATTCAAGTGCCTTTCTTGAGATCTTGAGTGTAAATGTTTTGTATTTCCCACTTTTTGGTGGGTGAAGTACGAATATCCTGATTCTGTATTTTTATACTGGCATTATAACAACTATGAAAATTCTTTATGTATGATAATTAAGTAAACCCAATTTTTAAGAACATCATACGCTATCTAACAATAATAAATTGTTGCCTTTTTCCTTGCCCATCTTAATAAGATATATTTCAGGTGCTTGCACTAGCGGTAGTATCCATTGGTGTTGCCGTTGCCTCCGTAACCGATCTGCAATTCCACTTCTTTGGTGCTTGTATAGCAGTGGCGTGGATAATACCCAGTGCAGTCAATAAGATACTATGGTCCAATCTTCAACAGCAGGAGAACTGGACTGCCCTAGCGTATGTGACTAGCTCAAAGAATACCACTTGCTGGGTTTTACTGTTCTTGATTTTTATTACTACTATAGGAGTTCATGTCGGCATCTTTTTATCTAAGATACATAACTAATGTGCAGGTTAATGTGGAAGACCACACCGATTACTTTGTTCTTTCTGGTTATTTTGATGCCGTCACTTGATCCTCCAGGTGTCCTCTCCTTTGACTGGAGCTTCTATAATTCATCAATCATTGGCATTTCTGCTATCCTCGGCTTTTTGCTTCAGTGGTCAGGTGCTCTAGCACTTGGGTAAGTGTCACTCGTTAAATTTTTATTCATATCTCAATTTTCATCTCAAGACCTGTGAAAGTACAATGTTTCAGAACTTTAGAATGTTGTCCTTAAAAACTCAGGTCACTTTCCTTAAATGTCACTTTAAAGATGTCTGCTGGGCCGGGTGGAGGGCATTAGTTAAATAGTTGTGGCACAGTTGTCTGGATGTCATACTAGATGAACGAGCTTGCTGACTTGGTATCGTCCAAGATATTAACTTACTTCCCAGTGTAAAGGAATCAGCCAACTTGGTTCATCGCATTCTAGCTTGATGCTGGTCATTCAATTTGATTCTGGCTAATTGATCTTTGAAGGGTTATGCTCTTGAAATGAGCTTAATTTGGTTCTGCTCTTGAAATGTCTAGTTAATTTTACGAAGGTTTGGTAGCAATACTACTTTGATAGTTTGGTGAAGCCAAATTTGAGAGTTTTTCCTCATACTGTTCTTCATTTTTTCGTGGATTTTTAATTGAAGGATCATGCATATTATCCATCTTTACTTTTGATTTTTGTTTCAAAATAAGTTATTATTCTATTTAAATAATTTGTTTTTAATTTGATTTAAGGCGATTCAATTGTTATTCATATCTCCCCTTGTAAATGATTTAGAAGTCAAAATAATGTTTCACTTGACTCCATTTTACTTGTCATTGAGTTCCAATATTGAGGGAATTCGACTTCTTTCATGCACACGTTTCAGAGATAACATTTAGAAGATTGTTTAATGTGCCATCAATTGGCGTTCTCTCTCTATCTGTCTCTCCACGCAGGGCAACCTCTGCGATCACCCATGTTGTTCTCGGCCAGTTCAAAACTTGCGTCATTCTTCTTGGAGGATTTCTGCTCTTCGGTTCCAATCCAGGCAGCACTAGCATCTGTGGAGCAATTACAGCTCTTGTTGGCATGTCATTCTACACTTACCTCAACTTGCTTCCGTCGCAGCAGCAATCAAATAAAACATCTTCCAGACAATCTTCTTTCTCTCTACAGAAATCTAAGCTGAGCAAAGAAAATGGGGACAGCCAAGACGGGAATTGTGGTGAAGAACATGTCTAGTTATATACACTTCAACTGCGGGAAGAGAACCGGTATACACGACGAGACTGATGAGAAACTTCTACTAACCTTGGAATTATTTTTATTTTATTTATTCTTTTTGTTTACAAAATTTAGTTCTGTGTTGAGTAGGCCCCTCCTACCTATGTCTGTAAGTCTGATCAGTAACCATCAGTTAATGTTCTGATTACACCGTTTCTGGAGTAGTATAATTTGTTGTGAAAGGCTTGTATATGCATGTTATACAGGAGTACTCCTTTGTTATTTCCTTCGACTACATTCCAGTGTACACTGCCTATATATCATAACACTGGGTTTTGAAGTGAACTACTTTCAGGAGATGTGAAGCTTCTCAATTTCTTATTCATTCGTGCCCTTTTTTAATACGGGACAGGTAGAACAAACAATAAAAATGTCTTTTTGTTTTTTTTTTTTTTTTTTTACACTTTTCTGAAAAAATAAAATTTGTACCAGAGTTGATGGAGTGGATTCCAAAATCTCACAACAGTGCCCGTGTGATAACTTATAACCCTCCATCTCCACTATTCTTCCATTTTGAAAAACTAAGAACTAGAAATTCAGAATTTGAAGAGCGCGACTTCTTAAAGCTCGAGCTTTTAACGGCAGAATAGATTTTAAGTCACGGGATTATTCCTTTTCAGTCATATACAACTCCAGGTGGGCCAGATTGGGTTTGAGTTTAAGAAAAATTGGACCAAAGGATGTGGTCTTGGGCTTGAAAGAAGCCTTATTGGGTTAATTAATAAGGGCCCGCACTTATCTCCAGAACATGTCCAATCAGCTGAATTAGAGAAAGGAGCAAATGAAATGGTTCTAAATTACCATTTGGTCCTTGATCACACTTCATACATGATTAATGAGACTCTATGGAAGAATAAAAATAGAATTCTCACGCCCGATGCAACAAAATTAAATGTATAAGAATCATTTTCTATGCACAAGTAAGGTTGAATACATACAAATTATGTTCTAGAATTTCAAATTTACAAGCGTAATAAATGATTTCAAGTGAGCGGGAATGGTCCGTGACTCCCGAGAAGACCTGATTCAAAATCCGACCCCTCACAGACAAAAAATGGCTAAAGTGGACTTGGAATCGAACTAAAAATTTAGATATTTTCTTGATAATTGTTCCATTGGAGCATTGCATGTGTCCAGTGGGGATGGTATTCGGGTGTATCGGACAGGACACAGAGTTAACAGAAGGCTCTGATTACTCATGCACTAGACACAACAAATATATTTTTGTGTCACATCGAATATATTCTCCTTTAGGGTGAGGCTGACACTATTATTGTTGATAAAAAAAAAATAATAATAAAAAAAATAAAAAAATAAAAAATGGTAATGCCAACCATAAAGTTGGTTGTCATGAATTTTTTTGTTACAATAATATACAAATTACAAATATTAAAAAAAGTATCCAATCGCTTGGAATTACATTAGCTTTTTTTTAGTTTGAACTAATTACAACTAAATCTGAAATTTGGCATTCTGTGAGGTTTGCTTTTTTTTGCAAAGACATGCAGGACAGTGTTTTTTTGGTCAGAAAAATGGTTGAAGTGATCAAAATATCCGTCAGTTAAGTCTAAAAGACTATATTACCCTTAAAGTGTCATGAAATAACAAAATAATCATGCATTAGTAGCCTAAAATACCCCTTATGAGTAAATGAGTGACAATATTAATGTAATTGTGCTTTTGGGGATTTTTCTATGGCTTTGATGGTCTTTTACGTTTCGGATTGGAGAAGATACATGAAGATGGGGTAGTTGAAAATGACAATAGATGTTCCGGCTAACATTTCTGAACGGAGAAGTGAGTGCGTCTGCAGCGGCTAGCAAGAATGGGATTTGTAGGTTTACACAACAGTTTTTACTTAAGGTTTACCAAATTGGGGTCGGATCAGAGAAGGAAACAGATGAGCAAGGATTAACTGGGTTACAGAAAGAAAGAGTAGTAGTTGGTCGGCGCTGGACGGAGAGGTTGATGGCTCCCCAGTCGGCACCGTAGAGGCGGAGGAGGATCATACCGTCCTTGGACAGAGGTAGTTCTGTATTATCCACTTGACAGCGAAGGCACTCTCGTCGCTGAGGTAGACAGCGATGGCGATGTGGCGGTTAGCTCCGATAGCGTTCCTCAAGAGCTGTCACGTTATTGTCGGTGACGGCAATGTCGGCAATCTAAGGGAAATCCGTGTCGTGTCCGGGCTTCCATGACCTGGTTTCTTCATTTTTTCGGCGTCAAGGGTCGCCTTTTTCCTTCGCTAATGTCGGACATCGATGGTCGCTGCCTATTCCATATACTAGGTCACGTTGTTGTAGAAGTGGATGAGACGCTTGTAGATTGCAATTGGGCGTGTTGGTTTTCGTCCTCGTCATTGACGTACGTTCTTTGGTGAGAATTGCAGAGACGGAGAGAGGAAAGAAGGAGATGAACAGTAAAAATAGAAAAAATGTAAAATATTTTTTTGGGCAAATATTAGTGGGCAAAAGGGTCATTTTTTATTTAGATATTTTGCCCATTTTTAGTAGTAAATAGTAATACAATAGTAAGGGTATATATGTAAAATCATAATTAAATTTGACATTGAGGTGTCGATGCAATAAAATGACAAATCCTAGATTTAATTACAATTAATTCAAACTTCGGAAAAGTCATTATAATTTATTCTAAGAAAGTTCGCATCAAAATTTATTTATAATATATTATACAAATTAATAAAACAATTTATCTTGATTTTATTGGACTAAATTAAACTATCACCTTTAATTGCGTCATATAATTTTATTTTATGGTATTATAAAATAATTAATTTTTTTTACGGTGGGATAAATTTGATATTGGCCACGAGACCAAACTGTCAAACTGCTTATGTGGTAGGATTTACCACCCATCCATGATCTAGCGGGCTCCACTATCTCGAAATACCATACTCTTCTCACATAAACATATTTGACTTGTATAACGTTGTTGCCACGCAATCGGTTATCTAATGCAATAGGCCTAACTAATATCAGACTTAATTAATTGTTGTTTATTATTACGGTGGTGCGCATTACGCACAATCAAGAGGAAGAACAAGATTGCCTTCTCTTTCTTATACCTCGATTGCCGTGTCATCTACTACTTCTACTGTCTGCTCTGAAAAGTCTTGGATTTAGACTTGCATTTCAAGCCATTTTCTATAAATCTTCCAGCAGATCTAGGGTTTAGGCGACAATCCAGTGACCTTCTATTCGATCAACAAAATCATCAATGGCGTACGTAGACCACGCCTTCTCTATATCAGACGAGGACATCATGATGGAGACCTCTTACACCGTCCAGAACCGCCCTCCCATTAAGGAGATCGCTCTCGCCGTTGCTCTTCTCGTATTCGGAACCCTAGGCATCGTACTCGGCATCCTCATGGCCTACAACAGGGTCGGCGGCGACAGAAGTCACGGTACACACACACACACACACATATATATATATGCTTCTCTCTATGTATACATGTATGTATGTCTCTCAATCGTAATTGTTACTTCTAAACTGTCTAATTGAAATCTGGTTGAATTTTTTAGGGCTTTTCTTCGCAATATTGGGAGGGATCTTGTTCATACCGGGTTTCTATTATACACGGATTGCGTACTACGCCTACAAGGGTTACAAGGGTTTCTCATTCTCCAACATACCGCCTGTGTAGAGTGGACTAATTTGCTGCTTCAGCTCTGAGCTACTTGAATGAACTCATAAGTGTCCTGTACAGATCTCTTTGCTTACTTCTTTTATCTGTTTTTTTCTTTTTTTCTTTTTTCTTTTTTGTGGTTGTTTCTTATAATAATGTTATATAGATGCTGTACTTTCAGGAAAACGGGATGATTTTTCGGTTTTTTGATGCCATATAGTGAAAATTTTGTTCCTTTGAACACCTTAGACGAATTGTGAAAATACACATTTATTTGGATGGAGTTGAGATCAATTGTGTTTGCAGTGCACTAGCTTTGGTAAATTGTGCAGAAATCAGTAACATCGATTTGTATAAGGTTGAAGGGTGGAGAATCACAGGTTAGAAAATACATCTATTTGGTGTTGGAGACTTGAAATTGCACCCAAATTGGAACGATTATTATTGAAAAACAGGCTTTCTGCAAAATGCCTTTTTGTCTATAGAAACATGGAAATCACACTAATATAGAACAAATATAGTGGACTGGGATCACATTTTAGTTTAGGTGCTTATTGCTTGAAAATAAGAGTATGGTTATGGGTTGGAAGTGAGTTTATAAACCCTTTGGATATGACTTGATTATAGAGTGGATAGCTGAAAGAATAAATGAAGAGAAACAAAGTAGTATAAAAGCTAATAGTATAGCTATGCAAGGACTAGTTTTTGATTAATGGGTAAGGATTAGCTAGGAAAAATGCCTTTCTAACTTGGGGAAGAGCAAACTTGCGATATGAATTAGTTGCTTTTAGACTTTGTGAGTTGACATAACCGAAAATACATCTAAGAAATAATAAAGGGAAGGAAAACATCTAGTCAAAACATCTCAATTCAACAGACATTAAATCAAAGCTATTTTTGTTGCGTACGTGAATCCTCCTCCATTAAATCTATCCAACGCTTTATCATCTTTTAAATCCTTTTTGAGTATTGTGTCTTTTTCACATTGCTCCAATCTTGCTTTGAAAGGGAGGAAAATTCTTATGAGAATTTGCAAAGCCCTTTGTGGGGTTTATTGATGCTGGTGACATTTTCTAACAGGGGGAATTGCACTTTTCTTGATTATGAGACTAAATGTATTTAAGTGTATCAGGGGAACAAGTGTATACATATATTAAATAGTCAAAATTTGCTCTGCTCTCAAGTAACTGCAAGGTCCTCAGCCAAGTCCCCTTTGGAGTGTGTGCATTTTTTTCAACAGTGAATGTATGCTATTGCAACTAACATATAGTTTAGTTAGCTATCCAATGATTCCAATCTGAAGTAGCCTGATTTTGTTTTGATATCCTCTACACGTGATAGACTAAGTTTACTAGGAAAAAGCTTGGTTAAGGGTTTATATGCTTTATACAAATTTGCCCAACTTACTTGTGCCTTTTGTGGGAAGTGATTCTTGTAATTCATGATCGTACCTTAAGCAGCCTAGCAGCCTTAGAAATGCTAGGCAAGTTCACAAATATTTACATGCAACGCATAGGAGGGATTGTAGGCTGTTTGCATTGTGCCGTAGTTAATCATTTTTTGTCGAGCCGTGCATTCACCTAGCTAAGGCCTACTGACTACAATTTGACACACATGATAGGCCATTCAAATGCTGCAAAAATCATCTGATGACCACAGCTTGATGATTGGTCTTGCACATCAAGCATCGTGCGTGCATTGCATACTGGTGACTTTGAGCTGATTGTTATTGCCCCATGTTGATCAAGTCCTACAGGTATTGCTCCACTGAGATATTTAACCAAGAAGAATACTTGTTAGGTAACCGGCATGCGTATAGAAATCGAGTTATGATCGTCCAACCCAGCATTGAAGGCCATTGTGCATTATCGTGCCATCCTTGAACTTATGCTTGAGTGATGCATGCAACCATATCTGCTGATCTGCTGGATAATCAATTACAGCTCAACTGCAATAGGACCCTGTTTCAGATAAACTTCCAACATTTCCTGTTGTTGATGCCAACAGAGCTAATCATTATTGGTGCATGTGGAGCCCTTTTCTGAGACACGAGTGTAATACATGATTCTAATACACAATATTCTCAACACAGTGTTACGAAGTGAATATCATGCTTCATATTAGTAATGCCACAAAATAACACTGAATAATTCCCCCGCATACTTGCTGATTGCCACTGCAAAACATCGCCTCTACACCAGCAATCTTACCTGTTTTAAGGAGTTTGTTGTGCCTCTTGCTAAAACACCATTTATTTATTAGGGTTAATTGTGTGTAGACTAATTTTCAGATTATCAGAAAGATATCAAGGCTGTAATGAGGTGTGTTGGACTCAAAAATGCTTGATCTGCCCTTTACACATGTTACCAATCAAAGAAGTAGGACATCATGTCTAATAAGAATCCAATGCACCAAAGTTGTTACCCTGATTTCACAAAACCTCTCATAGCCTACCAAGCTGTGTTCCTAAAGCTTTTCCTGATTCATTTGTTCCTAAATATATATATATATATATATATTTATTTATTTATTTTTAACTCCATTAGGCTGTGTTTTAGAGCACGGGCGTGGGAGCTCAAGGTGAGATTGGAAGAGAATACACAATTATTTGCCTGAAACCTTTTTCTGACCTAGAGCAGACCTCAGTAAGGCTGTAGACACAGAATCCCATTTGGGGGGCCTGATCTACCTTAGTTAGGTCAATCTTTGATTATTTATTAGAATTGTTTACACTGTTAGCTTCCATGTTCTACATTGGTGTGAAAATGTAGTATTTTTTCTATGTAACTGAATTAGTTTCAAAAAGCATTTTTATTGATTTTTAGGGATCATGCAGTCATTTGTTATTCATCGTAATAAGGTCTTTAACTATGCTGAAGGATGTTTTCGGTTCATAGATTGTTGTTTCTAATTGCTACTATATAGCTCTGATATCGTCAGAAGTTTATGCCCTCTAACACATGCATTATCTTTTGAGTTGTGTGTTCTGTTCTTGTGCTATCAATTATCTTGTACAAACCTTGGTAAGTTTCTGCTGATGTTGATGGCATGTGAAACCAATTTGGTGATCATTTTAAAATTATCACATGGGTCTGTAGATCATTTGACCAAGTTGATGTTGGACACAGAATAGATTGGGTGGTCATTCCTGACACATAGACCTTCTTAGGAAGTATGAGATGGAGGGGAAGAAAGAAGAGAGAATTTCACTGTTAAAGATTATTACTACATGGGTTCTTAAGGCTGGAAGTTATATATTCTCAAGAGGTTCAGGTTTTACTTTCTTCAGCAATTGCCATTTTACTACTATACCAGTATCTTAGGCTTTAGTTCAGCAATTGCTTTCTTCAACTACATTTTTTATTTTATTTTATTTATTTATTTATTTTATTTTAGGTATGTTTGACCAGGATAAGATTACAAAAAGGGCAAATTACAATTAACACCTACAAGGTTTTCATTTTGTACACCTAAATAGAAGTATGCCTGATGTATTCATCAACCACCCTTGTGGTTTCACTCGAGTGATGCATCAAATTGAATGTAGGGTAATTATACTTTTGGACATAAATAACCTTGATATTGTGAGAAGACCAAATTGTCCATTAGTTGAATTGAAATTATATCTTTCAAAAAAGACAAAAGTGCCCTTTCTCTTTATCTCTACATCCAGGCATGCAAAATTTTTTCCTCCACTATTTGAATTAAGTTTTGCATGGAACATCAATGGTCTATCAAACCAATGTCTTACACTAACCCATGTTTTGCATGTAACTGCACAACTTAGGCCATGTTAGGAATAAGCCAAGACAATGGTCTTTGGAAGCATCTTTATTTTTTGTGTTTCAGCTATGATCATGTTATATGCTTGTGTATCCTACTGACAGGGACATTGGTCATGGAGTGTGGTATTTTTTGAAAGTGTGGAACAATATATTATATTATCCTTACTAATTCACCAACATATACAAACCAATAAGTCATAAATATTACATCATATAAGTTCTCAAGTAACCTACAAGCATCTTCATGTTCCATACATACTGGTTTACAAAACACGCCCACATAACTTATACACATGTTTTACTGCCCATACACAAACTAGTGAGGCTAAAAAAGAACATGTTTAAGTTAGCAAGTACTGCCCACGTAACCAAGTAAGTTACCCTCATCAACTTCCTTCCAAATTTTTCTTTTGAATAATGGTTGAATGCCTTAGCGTTATATATGTAAATTAACTTGCATGTTCAAAAGTCAAATAGTCAATTTGGACCTTATTGTTATATTTTTCATACTTTTATTTAACTGCACAATATATAAACCATGTGGTTGTTAGACGTAATTTGTCCTTGCAAAAAATAGGTTTATGCTTCCTGTTATTTATTTACTTTTTATTTATTGAAAGGCTGTCTTTATTTCTCAACTTTAGTACCTAAAACATTGGACAAAAGATCATAAACGATTATTACTATGGAATTATGGGTGAAATTCAAGTAATTTCATATGATATAAAATATTTTCCATTAAAGCTATATCAAGCGGGGTTTATCAATCTTTTAGTTTATATTTTACCCATATTGGCCAAAACAAGAATATATAATAAAAGCTGTGGAGGAACTCACCATTTGGTTCATGTATGGAATTTTTTGTTGGGTCAAGGACGGTGGTGTCGGGTCTCAGGACATTTTGTATTTCACCACCCGGCAGTGGCATATTGATCCTTTTGTAGAAACTATTTCCTATTTTTTTTTTTTTAAAAATAATAATTATACTCCACTGAATTTTTTTAATAATTGAAATCACAAAATTACTACTCAAAAATGAAATGTAATTGTAATTTTTTTTTTTTTCTAAGTTTCGTGGAGGTAATTGTGTTTTTGATGGGTAATAATCTTTTTTTCTTAAAAAAGAATTAAGTGGATGACAAATACCATCCTCCATTTTAGTTGCAAGATTACGGAAGGGGGAAACCTTGTAAATGTAAATGAAGGCAAAAACATTTTTTTAAATTCCGCCAAAAATCGAGCTAGTCCAAGTTAATTTACCATGTTCCATAAACTTTCTTCTATAAAATCATAAAATCCCCTTATTATTTCCATATTCGTCATATAACTTTCTCAATTATCAAATAACCTTCAAAATTAATAAAAGCTATCACGTTACTCTATTTTTGTGATAGAACCGGTTAAGTTGTTGTGAAATAACAATAATACCCATTGATAGTATATTAATATTTTATTAAACTGAAATTGTT